GGTTTTGTTGGGTAACAGCTGTACATCCTATACTTGGCATGTTGGAGGAAAAAAGGCATATTACAAAGAATATGTCATTTCTACGAATGGTAATCAAAGCAGATCTCTGGAGTCAACAGTCTAATGTCAGTTTTTTCATCTGTAGTCAAATCTTGTCAGCTTTTTTGTTTTTCTTGTGTGAATCCTTAGTTAAATCACATTAGGTGCCACTGAAGATGGGTTGTTACAGCTGCAGATCCATAGCATAACTTGTATGTGTTAAAAAACAGCTGTTTTGAGTGTTTTCCCAAACACTTTGAGCTTGGTAGGTCCGTTTTTAATGCATGAGTATCCTTATTCTGCCTAAACCCAAAAACTCCTTCCCTGTAATTGGCAGGTTTTCTTCTGTGTCTGTTCAGCCATCTTTGGTAGGTTTTGTGTACTGCCACAGTAGCTCTGTATACCAAATGCACATGGAATGGCATTTTAATGTTTGAGGTAGAAGAACATGTGGTATATTTGATGATTTCAAGTTAAAAGCACAAATAGGCTGTTGTGAGTACTATTGCTTAGGTCCATCTGCGTGGTGGCCCTACGTGTCTTCCAGAAATAATCATATTCAGGCATGACTTTACCTGCCAGGGTTCTCTCTGTTTGTGTGCAAAGACACTTTAATCCTGAGAGAGGAACTGGTTTGGTAGCTGGACTCGCATCAAGTTTTCTGTAGCTCTGAGGAAGAGCTGACCATGACTGGTCACACCAATTCTGACTTTCAAGAACAGCTAAATTCATTTGCCAGTGAGGAGTTTTGGTTTTTGCCTTTGAAGTTAGTGAAGGTGGTAATTTTTGCCAGTGTTCAGCTATCAAGTATTACCTTGCTTGTCTACAAGCCACTCGCCCTAAATTGGCAGGCATGCTAGGCCTTCTTCCCCAGACTTCTACATTCATGCAGTGCCACTGTCCCTGTCCTCTGATGCTGGTGAGAATGATGGTTTCTCTTTTTGTTATGTGGAACGAACACCAGATGTGCAATGAACATTGGAGACAGTAAAACTAATTGTAACTTTGTCTCTTTTTTGTGTTTTCACTTAAGCAGATACATGTCCTAAAGTTGTTGTTTTTCCTTTCCAGAATCAAACGAGCTTTTCTTATTGAGGAGCAGAAGATTGTTGTAAAAGTGTTGAAGGCACAAGCACAGAGCCAGAAGTCAAAGTGAATCTAATTGTCGTTTCAGCCCAATAAATGAAATCTCCACTTTCATGGTGTCCTGTCATTCCACGTGCTAGTCAAAGCTGGTAGGAGCTGCTTCTCACAGCTCGTTAAATGCAGAGTTGGGTTTTGATGCAACGAAACCCGCAAGTCAGGATGCTGTGTTTTGTGCTGCCTGCAGATGGAGGAAGTCAAGTAGGTGGAAGGAGATCTGGTTAACCAGGACTGTCATGGGTCCCGTTAGAGGTGTTGGAATAACTTTTGAGTAATGCAATTTTTTTTCATGGCAACATCTGTGTATGGTGTTATCAGAGGACTTGGCTGATAAGAAAGTTAGAAATCTGAGAAAGAAAAGCAAACAGAGGGAGACTACGACTAAAGGCTGGAAGAGGGATTGTCAGGCGAAGAAGAGGTGAGCTAGTATGGGCCTAAGGTAGGGTGTTTTTTTTCCCAGTAGTATGTGCTGTAGTTACTGCTACTCAAATTGGAGGGTGGGGGGAAATTGACTGTGTGAAGCCAGTGCTGCATCTGCCAGATGGTTAGACGCTGCTACCTCTGGATCTCCTGGATGAAAGTTCTTGTATCCTGGTTGTTAGGTGCTTCCTAAAAAGTTATCCAAGTTACAGCTCTGATACAAGCAGAGCTCCGGGGCCCAGGTCAGGTAGACCCTTAATGGCTTCCAGAATTAGGTTTTATAGTAGCAATTTAGGCCTCTGGTTTTGAAACTTGAAGCAGAGTTGGATCTGTATGGCTGAGGACGTAATGATAATGTAAAAAGCAATTGTAAAAGGTGGAAATGAGCTTGTTTTGCTGCTTTGCTTCATTTTGTTGCGTAGAGAGAACTGTCAGTGTGCCTCTAATGCTACCCAGGAGTGCTTTAACACACTTGGGATAATTCTTGCATTACCGGTGGGTGCAATGGTATTCCTCAGCCCCAGCTCTGAATTTTGGAACTTGGTATGACAAGAAGCGGGTATCTGTTTTTTACCAAATCTTTGAGATATTTATCTCTATATTTTTTTTTTTTTCAAAAAGTAGTGAACTCAACCACCAGAATAAGGAAGGAGGAGAAATAATGACTGAGTGTGCAGACTTCTGGCAGCACTGAGGATGTCATTTGAAGAGGTTTCTCAGATCACTTCCAGAGTCTGTGCTCCGGCTGTGTGGCTCAAGGGACGTGTGCAAACTCCTCTGCCTGACTGCACGCTGTCTGTCCACACCATGCCTGGCTCCGAAGCTTGTCAGGCTGTGCGGTCAGCTAAGAAACGCATGACAGAAAACAGAGTTGGTGAAAAGACCTGCACTTCTGGCAGCAGCTGGCTGGTACCTTGGGTCAGCTGCGTGCAAACTGGGAGCGGTGGTGTTGGTGCTGCCTGGGTTTGATGGCAGGAGGTGGCTGTGGTCCAGGAAAACCGACCTAACACTGTGCATGGTGAAAGGAGCTCTGCCTCCCCAAGAATTTCTTCACAGTGTCCCAAGTCATTAAAATAATTTGGTATTCTCAAAATGGATGAACGTTGCAGCTGACGTGTGTAGCTTTAAGTATGAAGTGTTTCTCCTTAGTTCAGGTTATGCTAAAACTTGTTCCAAAGGCTGTAGCCAATTAAAGGGAGTTTTAAGACTGGCATTAGTGCCCTGATATTTTTAGGTGCTGTTGCTATAGTTTACAAGGTTAAAATTGTAGTTGTTGCCTTACTGTGCTAGTACAAACTTCATTCCTTTGGCTTTCTGGAAACATGCTTTTAAAGCAGAAGTGGCAAGGGATGTCTAACCTGCCCCAAAGTGCTCTTGTTTTACATTAAAAGCTGTGAGATTAGAGTTTTCCTTGAGGCTTTTGGAAAGGAGGCAAGGTGGAGGGAGACTGCTTTTGGAGTAAGTATTGGGGGGTTAGTATTGAGGTGGTTTTTACTGCCTCTCTCCAGTGTTCAATTATGTCTGCTAAAAGGCATCAGTCTTCCTATATATGGTGTTTGGGTTTTTTGTTTGGTTGGTTTTTTTTATGGACCTGTTACTTCTCTCCAGCCAGTCCTCTGATTCAGTCCCTGGCTATAAGGTGCCTTTTCTGAAGGAAATGCTTCCCGTGCTGTCTAAAGGCTTGACCTCGGCTCAAAGGTATAGAATCATAGACTCATTTGGTTGGAAAAGACCTTTAAGATCATTGAGCTCAACTGTACTTGTCCACTACTAAACCATGTCCCCAAGCACCACATCTATACCTCTTCTAAATGCCTCCAGGGATGGGGACTCGACCACTTCCCTGGGCAGCCCCTTCCAGTGCCTGACAACCTCTACAGTGAAGAAATCTTTCCTAATGTCCAACCTCAACCTCCCCTGGCCCAACTTGAGTCCATTTTCTCTTGTCCTATCACTTGTTGCTTGGGAAAGACGAGACCAACACCCACCTTGCTACACCCTCCTGTCAGGCAGTTGCAGAGGGCGATAAGGTCTCCCCTCAGCTGCATCTTCTCCAGGCTGAACAACCCCAGTTCCCTCAGCCGTTCCTCATCAGACTTGTGCTCCAGACCCCTCACCAGCTTCATTGCTCTTCCCTGGACAAGCTCCAGCGCCTCAGCATGTAGAGAAGGCAGGCACTGCTCTGAGAAGGGCTCTCCTGTGTCCCCATTTGTGAAGCAAGAGGACCTAGACCAGCGTCCACCCAAGACAGGGAATTTTCTCCCTCGTGTGTTGCCTGGGTGCTTCCCTCCATACCCAGCCTCAACCGAGCTGAGGACGGTGGCAGGTTGGCCCCGCTGCCGGCCTGGGCCGAGGAGGCGTCTGTACGCTGACAGGAGGGTGTAAGACAGTTTGTATACATGTGGGTACCCCTGCTCGCCTTCAGCTGCTGCTGCTGGGCCACATTTTTTCCCCTCGGCTCTCGGGGTGCAGCCGCCCGGGTCCCCTCTGGCTGCGGGCCAGGGGGGGCCCCC